GGGGGGGGGGGGGGGGTGAGAGACAGGCACACAGAGATAGAGCAGAGACAAGTGACAAGAGCACAAGGGCCGACCGTGCAAGGCACTCTGGCCGTCGCAACAGCGGACAGACCGCCACCCTCCAGCCACCTCGGGAACAATCAGGCGAGCAAATTTGTCGAACGTGCTCTCTCCCTTTTCTAATATTTTTTTCTGCCACACTTTCCGCTGTTGCACAACCCCCGACCATTGCCCCCCCTGCGAGCGAAAAACAGCCCTGGTGCAAAACTCTCGCTCTCCACGAGACAGCTATCGTACGCACGGCTACATCCGCTATAGCACGTCACCATCTTCATGCACATGACGCTCACTCACACGCAGTAGAGCAAGTCGTCGCCCTTGGTCTTCTGGTTGATGATCGTGTCGATGCAGATGGCCGTCTTGCCCGTCTGTCGGTCACCGATCACCAGCTCACGCTGCCCGCGCCCGATCGGGATCAGGGCGTCCACGGCCTTCAGGCCAGTCTGTGCAGCAGCAGCAGCGACAAAAAAACGTGCGGGCAGAGGTTAACTCTTGCCGGACTTCGTTCCGTCACTAAGCAGCGTTAAAAATGGTGGCGGTGGGAAGCGTTGACTGTCCACGGACCGCGTTTCGTCACCACGCAGCGAAAAAAGAGCGAAAACAGGTGGGGGGGGTGGGGCCGTCTCGTGTTGACCCTTGGGGACCCCGTTTGATTGGTCATTACACCACCACTAACTCCCATCGAAACAATAAAATATCTCCTGCTTTTCCATGACGAGGACAACTCGGGGCATGCGGTTTCCACTGTCTGCTGTTGGCAATACATTTTCCGCAGGAAGTTCGGGAGCGTTTGAGGCGCTCCGCCGAAGAGAAGGGAGGGGAACTCGTCATGTTTTCGTCAAAAATCACAAAAATTCCACCTCCGTCAACCGTCAACAGCAAGCTAAAAAGCGAGAGGTTCATAGCATAAATTTTGAAACCGTCACGAAAATATCGCCAACAGCCACGCACTACTTCCACCACGTACCTGCACGGGCTCGTGCACGGACTTGCGGGGGATGATGCCGGGGGCCTTCACTTCCGCACGCGAGCGCGTCTGCCAACCGCAAAGCAGGAAACGACGACGACGATCGAGACGCTAGCAAGTGAGCGGTTGCGCTTTCGTACATACCACAAATGGTGGGCTGCTTGGCGGTTCTACATAGCGTTCCGCGGTGTGCTCAGCTGAGCTACCCACTTGCTGGATCAGCGCGAGCAAAAACCAATGGGGGGTCCGCCAACATGATCGCTTCCCCACGACGTAAGTACCGCTAGCGTGTTGCGAGCGGACCCTGTCCGGTCTCAGGACACATCACCAACAGGAGATAGATGCCCATGCACGAGACAAAACGTTCATCTCTCTCTGTGGTGCCTTTCCACAGAAAGAGACCGTCAGCACGACATTTGCCCAAAAACAGGGTTAACACCGCAAAACTACGAGAGAGCAGGAGAATCCTACCCTACAGCATTACGCCAGTGTGTTCCACAAAAAAAAAGACCAAGCAGCAAAAATTAAAAAAATAATCATAAAAAAAAGCTGCTCAAAAATCACCTTGGTGGTGAGGGGCCCCGCGCCGTCGATGGGCACGCCCAGGCCGTCGAGTACTCTGCCGAGGCACTCCGGCCCCACGGGCACGTCCACGATGGACCCGGTGCGCTTGACGGTGCCGCCCTCGAGGATCTCCCTGTCGTCACCGAAGATAACGACACCCACGTTGCTCTCCTCCAGGTTGAGGGCCATGCCCCGAAGCCCGCAGTCGAAGATGACCATCTTTTTTTTTTTTGGCAAGGTATTAAAAGAAACAACCGAGGAAGTTTGCAGCGGGCGAACAATATGCATAGCGTAAGAAAAGGGAAAGACATGGTACATCAAAAATCAACGGAATAATTAGGCAGCGGGCATACGCATACATAGCGTAAGAAAGAGAAAACACCCGGCACCTCGCAGCCCAAGCCTGCAGACGAACACGATTATCTCTTGTTTGCATGAGCACACAAAGTTGAGACACCAAGTAGGAGAGCAAGCAGCGGACTTGTAGGCGAACGCATGCTCTGCAGCCAACTCGAAGGTGCCGTTCTGCTGTTTCTGTCCCCACCTTTTGTGGGCAACAGCCTACACCCTCCGTGTATCGTTGACGCACCAGCGGGGGGGTCATCATCACACAGGAATATGATAAAACACAACTCTCCACCATTCTTCCTGCGGTGCTTGGTTTGAAGCTACGGTATCACGCAACAGGAGCGAGAACGTAGGGACACGACGTCATCCACAGCAGCACCCAACCGCAACTCTCCCACTGCAACGGCAGACGCAACACACACACACACACACACACACACACCTCCCCGGCCTGCACATTGTTGAGCCCGTAAACGCGCGCGATACCGTCGCCGACGGTTACGACCTTGCCGACCTCGTTGTACTCGGACACCGCCTTGTCGGCGTCCGTGGCCGTGCTGGCGATGCGCTTCTCGAGGTAGCTCGACAGCTCGATCACCTATAAATAGGTGGTACGTACGGGGGTTTCATAACAGGAGGGGCAATTTGGGTGTGAAGAAAGAAGGGGTTTCGCAGCAGGGTGGGGGGGGGCGTTTTGAGTGTGACGGGAGAAGGGACATATTCAACTTCACAAAAGGAGGCGAGTTTCGGGTGTGACGAGCACGGAAGACATGATGGCAGGTGAAGGGGTTTCCCACGGAGGCGTGTTTTGGGGTGTGACAAGCACGGAAGATGAGCGCCGACAGATACGATTCGCCCCCGACTACCGGCTCCTTCGTGGTTCGAAAGGATAGGTGCTGATGATAGGGCCGTGTGTACCGGCAGCCATGAGCTCCGATCTTCCGTGTATTCCGAGCGATGCAATCTACATCAGAAACAGGACCTTGTTTACGTCAAGCCATGGCTCGAATTACCTAATGAAGGTGTAGGACACAAGGCACCGCGAATCTTGCAAACGCTAACGCTGTCACACCCTGTGTTGGGGTAAAATGGTGACTATAGCAGGTAGCAGCATCTCGACAACTACAGCACGTTGACATTACCAGTGCCATTCGAGAGCAGTGCTGTGAAAGCGCTCGGCCTCACGTACATGTACCTAACAGCAGTGCCTTCGAAAAATAAATCCCTATGCATACCCTGTTCTGCAGCTATGGAGCAATCGAGGCTGGCCAACATTGCCGCCCTTGATTCTCCACAGCTCCAGGAAAGAGGGAGAGCGTTGAAATTCCCTCCCTCACCCCAGTTGGTATTGTGCGGTTGTATGCACAGGTTCGTTCGTTCCTTTGGATCGTCGTGGGTGAAACCAGCACGCTTGTCGTAGTTGCGGTTGGAACAAATTCCAATTCCAATCGAAACTAGTTCCAAGCACAAACTCCGAGAAACGTGCTGGGTCCAACTACCTCGACCCAAAGGAACGGGCGGGCCTGTACATATAACCGCACATGAACAACTGGGGTAACAGGAGGGAATGCCAGCGCTCTAACTTGCGGGCAACTCTGGTCAAAAGAGTCAACAGACAATGCTGGTGAACGCCTCAAACAAAACGTCGAACTTCTAGGAATCTGCACCAAACAAGGATCACCAAGGGGAGCAGAGACCATGAGTCCCCAAGACCACAACATTGTCCTTGCCAATTCGGCCCTCGGCAATACCCTCCAACACCACCCAGCTCTTGAAATAACGTCATGCACAAGAACAAACATTGCAAGGCCTCTGCTTGAGGCCAGACGCCGTGCACACATCAACGAGGGTATAGAGCACGGTGTGCGCACTGCTGTGCACCACCGCACGCACCAAACACCAAACATTTTCTAATTATGCCGTGTACTCCGCTGTCTTCACCTACCCAACAACCACACCGTCTACGTACTACGTTCCTTGAGGTCATGGCTCCACCCATTCAAAAGGATGGCCGAAGAACTAACAGCCTTCACTTTTAGGTACTGCTCCCGCCGTCATGTGTCCTTCACCCACCTGGCTAGCCACGGAGAAGCTCCGCGCGGCGCTCGCCTGCACAGCCTGCGCGTACACAGCAGCAGCACCAGCAGCGGGAACAAAACAAATGTCACTTGTTGTACCAGGGATCAGGCATAGGGAGGGGAGAGATACGGACGAAGAGGAAGAGAGGAAGGGATGGCAAGAGCGAGAGAGTGGCCCTGAAATCAGGAATATATTTCACCCGCTTGGGATAAGCATACTTGTTCATAGCAGTGCAAACGTGAAAACATCCGGGCCAGGGGGGAGGCATGTGGGCCGAGAAGATGTTTCGTGCATAATAGAGTCTACAGCAGCAGTAGTGCATACCTATGATGCTGATAGGGGGCTGGTGTGTGGGGAGCGTGAATCACGCGCTGGAGGCAGACCCAACAAAATCATTGTGCACGCTGGGGACTTTGGCAGCAAGCACAGGAAGCAGTGCATTTGCTCTTTCGGTCGGGAAGCAGCACGCCCCAAAAACTCTTTTGTTGTTCTTGCACAGATGGTATGGATAGTCTGCGCTTCCGGAGTATATGGTGTGCAATACATGTCAAACACAACACACAAATTGAAGATGCGAATCGCGGACAAAAGCTTGGCCAATTCCGTGTCTGAGTGTGCGTGCCCCGCCCTGCAAAGGTGCTGCAGTTTCAGGGCAGCAGCGCTCGTGCTGTGCACTCGAAAGCGAACAAGTGGTTCCTAGGACCGCGCCTGGCAAACCAGCGGGGCGGGTTGCGATATTTTTGGCGAGAACAGCTCTCTGCTTTTTCATCCGTCCACGCGACGAACATAGAAGGCTCACACCACGATCTCGGGGGAATCGGTACGGCAACTAGCAGGGCGAAGCACATGAAGTGATAGCGTCAAGGTTGCTTCGGTATTCACTCTACAGTGGACCGCGGCTGAGGGCCCGAACAAACCCTACGGCTTCCCCTCTCTCTCTCTTCCGTGCCGCAAAACGCATTTGCCGGATATGACGCCGACCACACACACACAACCCCACCCGGGCCGTAGGTCTTCCGGAGTGCATAAGCGATTGCAACACCGCGAGAGATGGAGCAACCCGTGGATAAGGCTACACAACACGAAGCTGCGAGTTGTTCTCGATCCAGTGGCCGGTACCGCGGTGAACCCTGCCTTCCACCGTAAAACACCCCCCTTCGACCTCCCTCATCGTGTGTGGTGCGCTTTAGAGAGAGAAGGAACATCGCGTTGCAACCAGACTCGCGAGTGCAAGATGCGGCAGAGTGCACACAAGACAGCCGGCGCGTGGAGCATTGCCGGTGCGTTGGGCAACAACAACGCCATGCCTGCTGCTGCACACCAGGGACGCGTGTGCCCCACGCGGCCGCACCCTGAGAAAAAATCGAACCCACCTACCCACCCACCGCCGTTAGTGTGTGCACGAGACATCCGTTCTTTGGACGGAAAAGACGAACACAAGCAAGCTTTGCACAGCAGGGCAATCAAAATCGCACCTGCTTCGCCGTGCGGGGCGCAGTGCGGGCAGCGGCGGACGCCACCCGTGCCCCCATCCTGGAGAAAGAAGCGAGCGAAGCCATCCTTCCGCTCCGAAATGCAACCCGAAAAGCTTTTGCCTTCTGTTCGCGCGTGCTCTGGCGGCGGATGATGGCGAAACTCTGAGCAGTCGGCTGCTGTTCGTGGACGTACGTGAGATGAAAACATGCTAAATGATTCGAACTCCCATTTGCTCGGGAGGGCTCCGCCCGGCGCAAACCCGAGGAACGATAGCGGCGGGCGCGGGAGAGCCTCGCCGAGAGAGAGAAAAACGCTCAACAGGAAGTCTGTGGCGGGGTGGCGGGGGGACGGGTGCTCTGTGTGCTTGAGGCAAGGGGTCCCGGCCGGAGTGCAAAGCCTTTGTTCTTTGGTGCGCGTGAGAGTTGTGGCACCGCTCCTGTCCTGCTCCGAGCTGTAAGATCAGCAGCCAGAAAACGACAAGATGAACATCTTCCGGCTGGCCGGCGACATGTCGCACACGGCCAGCATCCTGATGCTGCTGCTCAAGCTGAGGGCGTCAAAGAGCGCCGCAGGTGAGAAGTGCAACCACTTGGTGCAGAACGGCAGATATGTAGCTACGTAGAGCGCTGCGGCGAGCGTGACTGCGCGAACCGTTGCTCCGCTATTCCAAGAGCGGAGAGGAGACGTCGACTTGACTCCACACACGGTGGTTTGAGAGCGATTATGGGGTGTGCCGAAGCAGACACCGAGGACGAGGATCTATTGAGCATGCAGAATCGAGGGACGCCTCTTCTGAGGGCGGTTCAGCTGCAAAGCGGCATTGCTTGCCTACTGCTGTCGTGTGTGGACGTCGGATGATGTCGGGACCATGTTCTCGTCAACGAACACCCGCATCCTGGCAAAACAAAGAGGGCGGTCTTGCACTGAGGGACAGCGCGCGCTAAAGTTGCACCCCTTTTGTCTCCCAGCACGCCGCCGTCGGGCTAGACCCTTTCCTACCAAGCAGAGGCTGTGATGCCCGACGTACAATATCCAAAGCAGGCCAACCACACGCCACTTTTTCCGCAAACGAAGAAAGAAAACGGCCCATGCGGTGAAACTTGTACCGCAAGGGGGAAACGTCGGTGGGATAGGCAGGCGATCTGTCCATTTGACATATTTCGACGCCTACATAGCTGGGTAACCGCTCCCGTCCACTCTATCATACCTGTCGCCTATCCTGTTGTGCGCGTGGTTGCCGCTCTTTTCGCCGTGTGACCAACCAATAGTATTCCCCTTCGTCTACAGTGCCATTACGTTGTGTTGCCTAAGGTACCACACCCCCTTGGCCGATTTCTAATTTCCAAGGCTCGAACACCCTCAGCAAGAACAGCAGGCCGCGGTGACGAAAAATGGCGGCGTTGGAATTGTCTCGTGGACAGCTACTGGTGTTGTAGGCGGCCGTCTTCCCTCAAAGGAATAGGACTAAGGGTAACGGACTGACGAGTCTACAGTAGTTCACAGATCTCGCCGCACTCGACGACCACAGGGTGTTTCTGCCACCATGTCCGTCGAGCCGGCCATCTCTTCGCCGTTACGCAGCTGTTCCATGTAGGTAGCGCATCTGAGACTCGATAGAACGCTGCTTGGCAGGCCTTCAGTACTACCATGCACCACTGGTGTATTGGCTCACCAAACAGTTACAACGTACGGCGGGAAGTACTGAGTATGCCATGAGAAAATGTTCCTCTTTTGAGGTATTTTGGATGTGGCGGGTATCCATTGGCCCCTTGCTGCCACTACCGCAAGGAACGTAAGGTATCGCACACCTCTGGACTAACTTTCAACGTTCGATTACTCCACGACGAAGAGAGCGTATGAATCAACTGATATGTTTTCGGCATGCCCTCGACAAGGCGGTTCCAACGATGCCATTGACGGCACCGCCAGGGTAGTGTGATGCCTTGTGTCACCCACGATATTATATAGGCCCACTAAGTTCGCGTGTGCAGTGAGCACCAAAAGGATTCGCATCTACACATCTGGTATCCGTACTTTTGTCAAATCGAGACAACCCTCGAAACAGCCCTCTGTCCGCCTTCTCGGCCGACGGCCACGTCTTTGTCGCCTACTGATGCTCTCTGCTGCTGCTGCTATTGCTAATGCCGCCTTGCTAAATAGTTTATCTAGATACATGTTCCCTACGGCTGTGTGCATGTTGCGAGTGTTGCCGGAAAAAGGGGTCGATAATCAGAGTTACCCCTGCTCCCGTCAAGATCCAAGAGTGAGTGTAGTTGTTCGGCTTGTTCCTTGCTCACCCCCCCCCTCCCCCCTCCTCCCGCTCGCCTCCTCCCCCGTCCCTCTGGATCACGTGGAACCTCCAAGGGATCTCGCTAAAGACGCAGGAGCTCTTTCTCGTAGTGTTCGTGACCCGATACGTTGACCTCTTCTTCCGATTCATTAGCTGGTACAACAGGCGAGTGGGGTCCTCGTCTTTCTCTAGTCGGACGACGTGATGGTGGTTGCGCCGGTATGGCTATTTTGGGGAGGGCGGGGGAAGGGCAGGTCTTGTCTACACCGCGAAGCGTTTGGTGGGTTCGATGCATGTGTTTAAATGCCAGCATGAACCAATGAAATGACGCGGGTCGCAGTGCGGTTGAAACACCAAAATGGTTCTAAAGGGCATGATCTGGGACCCCTCGAGGGGGCGTCATGGGGAAGCTAATGTATGTGTGCGTACGTCGGGGGGGGGTTGGCCGTTGGTACGGCGATGGTGTTTCGTCGACCCCGCTCTGCCGCAACCCGTGTTTTTTTGTTTGTTGTATTATGGCTTCTCTCCGTGGCTTGCTTGTGCATCTGTCTCCCCTTCCCACCTACCTCTTGAACTGGGTTTCGAACCTATTCCCACGGCTGGGGTGGACGCGTCCTCGTTTGTTTGCTTTTTCTATGCCTGTCCCATCCTTGTGGTCGGTGCCTTGCGCAACCAAACAGCATCATGAAGGTGCTCTACATCACTCTCACCAGCCTCATCATCTACATGATTCGAGAGCACATTCCCATCAAGGCGACCTACGACAAGTCGCAGGTGAGCCGTATTCGTTTTGCTCCGCGAGAGTTGGGACTTGATCTGTCCATGAGCAAGCTCGAGATGCTTGCACTGTCGTGGTACGTAGCTGTGGTGGGTGTGTCGCGCACACAAGAACGGTTTCAAAATCGTTGGACACGTGTGCATGTCAGGGAGCCCATGAGAATTCAAAGAAGGGATTTAAGAGCATCTGATTGGCTGCTTAGATTCCGCCTTTTTCATGGAATTAAGTTCAGGGTAAACGGACCCCTAAATACCGGGTAGCATACCGTAAGAGTCGGGGGGATGGCGCCTGGTGCGATCGTTTTTTGCTGTGTTTTCTTCGTGTTTTTGTCGCACCCCGGTGCGATCTCTCCGGCCCCGGTGCGGAAACGCTACTATATCACGTCATTGGTCTTGCTTTGCTCAAGGCTCCCCGTTCCGGTCTCTCCGAGCGGTGCGATGCCCAATGAAATGCATACAGCGGCTTTATGGTATACGGCGGTGTTGTATGCACGCACCTCGGTACCGTCTTCCCCGACCGATCCATCTCTCCGACCGGTTCCATCTCTCCGACTCTTATGCATGCAGTACTTTGTTTCTTTGTGGAAAATAGTGGTATTTCGTTCTTTGTCATCTCCCGTTACCCTCTTTTCTTTTTGGTCAATCTTGCACGTCGTTTTGTGATTCGTTGCCTGCAATGTTTGCCTTTCTGTGCATCTTTGACTCAGGATTCGTTCCTACACTGGCAATTTGCGGTGGCACCATGCGCCGCGCTGGGGCTGCTTATCCATTCTTGGAGCTGGTGGACTGTGTCGATGCCGTTCTCCTCCTTAATTAATGTGAGAAGAGGAAGAGTGTGCTTGTTTGCGGCGGTTTTTCGGCATGAGACGAAAGTTAGAGATGTTTGTTCGAAATGATCAAAGCAGCTCTTTGGCGACTGACAGAGGACACATGTAGATGTTCGAGCGGCGTCCACCTGAGCCTGAAGAGGTGTAGGTAGGTGAACCTGCTGTAGATAGACAAATGGTTTTTTGTAATGGGTCGACACACAGTACTCCACAATTACCGGACTTCTTTTAGGTACGGTTATTTTCGATGGCCGTTAAGATCACCGCCACCAACTGCTGGTGATGACCACGATGATGCTGTCAAATTCATCAAGGATGTCCGCCCCTCTGTTAGCCGTTCAAAGCCGACCCGGGATTTGCTTTTCCTGACAGAAAGCTCACGTCCTAAGATGCATAACAAAATATAATGGACGAACAACATTTTCGAAACGACCAACTGAGCGTTGCGATGTTTCGCTGGAACACGATAATTGCGTATTTGGACTTGGTTCGTGATTTCTGTACCCGATTTTGTCGCCACAGGCTGGATGTTGGTTCAATGGTGTGAGAGCCAACGTGTGCCTCTTTCTCGATGCGTTCGTTCCAGAGTTGGTGCTGACGTGACGTTACGTTTGTTTCACCCCTGCGGTTGTGTTAGAGACTTTGGAACCTTCTTGCGTTGGGCGTAAATTCCAGTCTAGTCTCTGCGCAGTCGCACGGACTGAGGTATTTTGCCACACTATATAATAGTATCAATTCTAGGGCTTTTTCGATGTGTCGTTGGGGACCCTGGGGGCTTCGGTTATCTGTTCGCTTTCCGCTGAACCTCGTTCTTGTCGTCTATTTTGTCCCCGTCCGGACTGGCGGGTTTTGCCAGTTCTTTTGGACATTTTCGGAGGTGCTGGAACCATTCGCGATTGTCCCTCAGCTCATGGTTCTGCAGCGGTACAGAGAGGTGGAGAACCTAACAGGTAGGAAGGCGTATCTCTTCGCTTGTTTCTGTTGTGCTCCTTTTTTTTGTTTGCAAACAAAGATAGCACCCGCTTGGCAGCCAAGATTTTCATGCTTCGCGTGAACCAAACATGATAACTTGAGCACTATTTGTGAGCCTGGCTCAGGATCCCCACACAAGTATCTGCAGTACACTCGGCAGTACATGGTCCAACGTGATTGGAAAAGCGCCCGGGATGGAATTGTTTTCAATCACCGCCACTCTAATAACAAGATGCCACCGAAACAAGGCTTTCTCCCTTTGTAGCTTGCTCGGAGTCCAAACATCGTTTGGCCGTAGTTCGTCTGCTGTCAACTGTACCGTGCTCCGGAGCACTTACTTGTCTCCTTCCTATCTCACAGGGCACACTACACACCCCTGATGGAAATGTTTTAGGTATTCTATCCAACCTTTCCTCCCCGTGTTTTCCCCCTTCCCCTCGCCTCGTTCCCACTCGTTCTTGTCGTCATTGCCTCCGTCGAACGATGCCTCGTGCTGGTTTTTGCCTGCTCCCGTTTCATTTTCGTCTCCCCCACTCTTCTTCCTCCTGACTGGCTGGATTCCTCATCCTACCTCTGCCTGCCTGCCTGCCTGCCTGCCTGGCACCTTTCTCTCTCTCTCTCTCTCTCTCTCTCTCTCTCTCTCTCTCTCGCTCTCGCTCTCGCTCTCGCTCTCGCTCTTCTCCTTGCTCTGCCCCCCCCGCCCACCTCTCAGGGCACTACGTCTTCCTGTTGGGGGCCTATAGGTCACTCTACATCGTCAACTGGGTGTACCGTGCGCACTACGAGGCCGGGTACCAGCACCACGTCTTAGTGTACATTGCCGGCCTGGTGCAGACCCTGCTCTACGCAGACTTCTTCTACTACTATGCCATTAGGTATGTAGCACTTGCTTTGTCTTCTGCTTGTCGAGTAGGTGCCATGGCCCTGTTCTTTGCCACAGAACGCTCCACGGTTGGCGTGCGTGTGTGTTTTTTATTTTTTAGCATCGACCGCGCTAACCGGCTGACCAATGAAAACACGTCAGTCTCAGTGGGTTTCAAAAACACGGTACGCTTCTAAATGCCATTAACTGGGGCCCCGTGAGGGGGCGGCATGGGGGCGTGTGTGTGTGTGTGTGTGTGTGTGCAGCCGTGTGGTGAAAACGGAAGCCATCTCCAGGTGTGGTCGATTTTTTGCCGTTCGATCTCTCCACACCGTAAGTGGGCGCTGGGGTGCCGGTGTAAGGGGGTTATCGTGTCTAGAGCTTTCTTTCTCTCGGCGCGACGTGCGGCATTGATAAACCAACTTTGTTGTTTGGTCCTCCAGATGTGTGATCGGGCAAGCTTTAGAAAGTCCACACCAAGAATTTGTGCGTTTGTCCGGGTTTTTGATAGACGACAACTTTGAGCGTCTGACTTGGTAGTATCGCAAATGCCTCCGGTTTGGGGGTTCTTTGGTGCCTGATTTTATGGCATCTCATTTGCCCTTTCTTTCTCCTCCCCCCCTCGCCTCCCCGCCTCTCTCCCTTCCCTCCTCTTGCCGCACCGTGCCGACGAAACGCACACGCTTGAAAATTAGCAAATATTACGGCGGGCGCATGTCTCTGCCGGCTTGATCTTGGTCAACCATTGGAGCGGGATTTTTGTCGAGCTGACACGGCGACAACAACGGCGGCCACGGCGACGTGTCCTCGACAAGACGAGCGCGAAGCCCGGCTTTCTCAAGCGGATGCAAGGCCTTTTGTAGTGCGCAAGGCTGCTGTGGCCAGAGTGCCCGAAACGTTGGCCGAGCTCGGCGGCACCCCTGCCCCGCTCGGGCTTTTCGTGTAGTCGCTGGTTGAGCCTGTTTCTAGGCGTAGCGTTCTCGTGAGCACCACGAGTGCACGCATGTTCGCCTTTTAGCTTCCTCCCGCCCTCCTTCCTTTTCCCCCCAGCGGTTGGTGATGAGGATAAATTTGTCGATAGAAGCTCCTCCGACATGGGTTAGTGCTGCTTTTCGCCAAGGTGTGTTGAGGCATCAAGAGGGTGGGGAGGGACACGTGTAAAGTGGTGAACAGATTGGGAGTATGGGGGGGGGGGGTGATAGAGAAGTGTTCGTGGGGGCTATGGGGGGCGACGCGGGTTGCATGGCACGCACACGCGTGTTGTGGTTCTCCAGTGGTTGCTGCAAGTTTCGAGCGAAGCGAGAGGGCAAGGCCTGCGCCGTATTACCTCACGTGGAGTATTCTTGGTTTTTGTTGACTTGGCGCAGTTTTGTTCGAAATTCACGGCGAACACGGGAGCCACGTGTTGGTGGAAACACCGCCGTGGCGTGTAGCCCCCTCTTTGTGTTGTATATCGCTGCGGAGGATGGAAGTCGAAGCATTTCTGCAACCAAACGCCAGCAATCGAACGTCGTCTATTTTGTACCTTGTGAAAACGAGAGGCCGTTCCTGTTGCCCCTCTGATGCGGAAGCCAGAGGGCGCAACCCCACGCGTTCTACCACTGCTGGCGTGAACAAGAATCGCGTGCTTGTTGTGCGCGGGAAGGCTTGCGGTGCAATCGCTACCGCTGACGTCGAACGGGCGCACGTGAGGGTGCCGACCAATTCAAAGCTACTGCTGATTTCTTGTGGTGCATGTTCAGAAAGTAGCTGTATCCGTCTGTCTAGGATGAAAATTGGTAGCAAACAACACAGCAGTAACTCCCATGAAGGAGATCATTCCAACCGATACAGTGTATCTTGCCGTCCGTCTTGCGTGGGGACGGTGGTGGTGGTGTCGTCCGTTGAACGCTGGATTCATTCCAGTAAGAATGCCGCAGAGTGATCCCTGGGCAACACGTTGTTTTTTTAGCTAAACTCTGCGCAAGAATGAAACCCGTTTGAAACCGTCACATTGGGACAACACCGTGGGAGATTCCCACACCGCATGATGGAGCGATCAAGTCACGATCTTCAAGCATGTGGGGGCAGACCTGCTCCGTCGAACAGGAGCTACAAAGGTCCTGTGTCCCGTGTGCTTTATCCTTCAATCGGGAGTTATCTCTCCCGCACATTTCCTCTGGGCATTCGCCCGCACGACACTAACTACCGTTTTGGTACTTTCCTACACATTCAAATCCCATAACACGTCTCTTTCTTCGAGAAGCGTATCGTCATCAGCAGAGGCGCTGCGTTTGATTGGAGTCGACCGGAGGAAGACACAACACCACAGTACTAACACACAACCAGCCCGACAAAATGTTTGTGGCGTCGCCCGCAGGACAAAACTACAAGTACTTGCAATAGAAGTTTCTGGTGGGTATAATAAACAGCCCCACCCATCCATGCCGTCGGGTTTGATAGCTGATTGGTCGGAGACACATGGGACAAATCAGAGGCAGTTGATCCGTGCGCTTTTCTATCTCTCTCTCTCTCTCTCTCTCTCTC